ATAAAATAACAGATTTCTCTTTTATTATTCTTATTTGAAGAGTTAAAACAACATAATCAACATTTCTGAAACTTTCATGGTACTGTATAGACACTTTTCTATTCGAGAAAAATCTCAACCAACACGGCAGACTGCCAGTCACACAACATCAAAATCCTAAATGACCGGCAGCTCATAAAATAACAGATTTCTCTTTTATTATTCTTATTTAAAGAGTTAAAACAACATAATCAACATTTCTGAAACTTTCATGGTACTGTATAGACATTTTTCTATTATTCATATTTCTATTTTTCTGTTATTGTATGGGCTGCCGGCACAATGTCTCTAGGTGCAACGAATGCACGACGCCAGTAAGTTTTAACACACTCATTTTACTTGTAGAGTTTTATTTTGGAGTTTGGAAGCTCGTTTAGATAATAAGAGAGGGAAAAAACACATTTTATGGGCTGCCGGCCATTTAGCATTTTCAAGACCTTGACTGGTAACCGGCCATATAGACACAGCGTTATAGATAACTGTTGTGGACATGAAATTTACACCAGGGTTTTCATCAACCGTTGATGTGGGCTTCACACCCTATTAATGTAGGCATTTAACTGAAAGGGACTGCAGTTTCTATATTCAAATACATTCAACAGAAAAAGCGTGTAGCAAATCAGGGCAATAGGTGATGAAATTCTCCAATTGCTGTCTTACAATGAAAACTCTGAATTCAGTCATATTTTTTGTAAAGATTGACATCAAAGCCATTACCTTCATTCTTATAGCTTATTCCTAACCAATACTTTACATCACCACTAAGGTTTTCAAAAAATGAAGACTGTCTTTTCTCTGTGTTTTCCATRATACTATCATGGCTGGTATCATGGTCAGTAAGTGCCTTATTTGCACATGTAGGTGAGCTCTTATTATCATCACAACCACTCAAAGGTCCCTTATTTGCATCTTTACTTTGTTCCCCTAAGGAAATTGTCCCTTTTGTTTTACATTTAATCTGTGGTGAACATATCCCAGAGTCCTCTGACARYGGAGAAAGAGCAATTGTATTTTTATCCAATGAACTGTGTTGTGTTTCATCAYTACATGGGAGATAAGTTGGCTTTTGTTCCTGACAAACATTACCAACAACATCAGATATTAAATCAGTWAGAAGTTCATTAGCAATTTGAACAAGCTGTTCATGTTCTGAAAGTGAAGTCTGTTCATTATTTTCTCTGGTTATTACAGAYGACGATGGTTCTTGTAAACCGCTATTTATATCATTCTTTTGCAGTATCTTCACATYRTTATCCACTATTCCTTGACAAGACTCCAAGTCTGAATGCCTTGGAGATTTTGATGTATCAATGTCGACACTATTTTGCCGACTCACAGACTCACGGGTCGATTCATCAAGATAAAACCTGTTAACAAAAATATGAATTTAAATTAGAATTCAAAACCATTGATGCTGTAAGTCTTGTTTTCTAAAGTTTAAGATTAGTATCAATAGTATGGATAGGGTTGCATGAGTCAGTTTAATAATAATAATAATAATGTGCTATTTATATAGCGCAAATATCCATATTAAGTTCATATGCGCTTTACAGTAATAAGAATTGAATAACAATAAAACTTGTAAAAAAGTAAACAATATAACAATAATAATGACATTGACAGTTTAATATAATAATATTCATTTTTATGTGAGATAAATATTGATTGACTACATATGTAGATGATTGATTAATTCATCAATGATAAAGCAGAGAGAGAAAGTAACACTGAAATATGCCATGATATTTGTAGCCAGTAATGACATTGGTTTACAGTATTGTGCTCACTGGTAGTTGAAATCCCAATTTATAGTTTCATCATCMCTCCCAACTGCTTTATAATTTATAATAGTCACTTGTAATAGAACTTATTGGTTGTTTCTTTGATCAGGTGATTGACTTTTAAATCTAAGTATAAGCGTGTTGCACGGGAATTACAAACTCTCTGGACTGGACCTGTAGCCTCCCATACAACATGGCTACTCATGTTGTAAACTATACATATTGATTCATTTCAAATTAGCAAACAGATTGAGAAAAGATCATAACCAAAAGCACAATTTAAGTGTTGAAGTTTTTCAAGGCAATGCAAATTCCTTTCCCACCCCTCCCTTCCTATATTCTCACCTTCCAGATTTCAGAGGATCATGGATAGCCATTGCAGCAATGTCCTTGTACAAAGCAGCACTAGTGATGGCAGACATTGGTGTCTTAATACAATAACAATCTCTACCTCTATCCATGACCAATGGGTCTGATACATTAGGATTGAAGATCACTGAATGGTCTTAATACAATAACAATCTCTACCTCTATCCATGACCAATGGGTCTGATACATTAGGATTGAAGATCACTGAATGAGGTGTTATGAGAACTACCCCATTGACCACACCCTAG